TCTCTCTCTCTCTCTCTCTCTCTCTCTCTCTCTCTCTCTCTCTCTCTCTTGTGTGTGTGTTTGTTGAGGAAAAGTCTCACTGTATTCCAAACTGGCCTGGAGTTCACTACGTATCTCAGGCTCCCCTGAAGCCTGTCTCATCTTCCCAAGTGCTGAGATTTCAGGTGTGAATTATCATGCTGAGCTACACTGGATTTGAGGGCACAATCTGTATAAAGTACAAAGAGACTGGCATGGGGAAATGTTACATGTTTCCATTTTTCTGTACACAGAAGCTGGACATAATAACAAGGGAAACAGCACACTTGTGTTCTACTATCATAGACTGGCTTTGTATGCTAACTTTTGTTGGTGAACTGACTGAAGTTCATTATTCACATAGGGTTCACGTGAAGTGTTTTACAGTTCTATGGGTCTTAGTAGATATACAATGACGTGCCCATTACAGTTCATACAAAATCATTTCGCAGTTGTAAGAAGCCTCTGTCCTCCATCCTCTTTCCCTTTTAGTAAGCTCTGATTTATTTTTAGGGTTTTAAGTTCTTCTTTTTTACCAGGTATGGTGGGACATACCTTTAATTTCAGGACTTGAAAGACAGAGACGGGCAGATCTCTGTGAGTTTGAGATCAGTCTGGTCTGCATTTTGAGTTCTAAGACAGCCAGGGCTATGTAGAGAGACCCTGTCTCAAATATATGTATGTATTAGAGAAAGAAAGAATAAAATTATCTTTTTATGTGTATGGGTGTTTTGCCTGAATGTGTGTCTGTGCCCCTCCTGTGTACACTCCCTAAGGAAGCCAGAAGAGGGCACCAAAGCCCCTGGACCTTGAGTTACAGATAGTTGAAAACTACCCTGCATATGCTGGTACTAGAACCTGGGTCCTCTAGAAGAGAAGCCCGTGTACTTAACCTCAAAGCCATCTCTCCAGCCCCAGCTCTGGTATTTTTGATTTGGTTTTTCCAGACTATTAGGATATATTCTGAGTCAAAGTCAGAGTCAAGTCTTTTCACTTAGCAGTATACAACTGAAAATTTTTTCTATCTTTCTGTTGCTTGATAATTCATTCCCTTTTATTGCTGAATAACATTTACATATATGATTGTGTCTTATTTATCCATTTGCCTGTGGAATAACATCGTAATTGTTCCTAGCTCTGAGAAATTATGAGAAATGCTGCTATAAACATCCCTATGAAGATTTTTTTTTTTGTTTAGAAGCAAACTTTTCAAAGCTTTTAATTGCAATTATATGTATATGTGTATGGGTGTGTGTACGTGTGTGCATACTGGTTTGTGTATGAGCCTATAGTGCCTGAAAAGATCAGAAGAGGGTATCAGATCCTCTTGGAGCTGGATTTTGGCACCTCCAGAAAGGCAGTATCTGTTCTTAGTAGCTAAGCCATCCCTCCAGCTCCTAGACACAGGTTTTAATGCATTTGGATAAATGCATGTAGGACAGTTGCGGAATTCTATGATGAGATGACCTTTAAGTTTTGAAAGGCACCACCGCATTTCTTTCAGAGAGGCTCTACCATTCCGCATTTTTTCCAGCAAAGAATAGGAGTTCCTATGGCCCACATCCCAGTCAGCATTTAGTGCTGCCTGTTTCCTGGAGGTTTTCTTTTCCATATCTAATAGGTGTGTAGTGGTGTCTCAGTGTTGACTGAAATTACAGTTCCTTGATGATACAGTATTGAGCATTTTAGGATGCTTATTTGTCATCACGTGTGTGTGTGTGTGTGTGTGTGTGTGTGTGACATCTACTCAGATATTTTTTCCATTTTTGAGGGTTTTTTTTTTTGGTTTTGGTTTTGTGTCCTTTTTTTTTTTTTCTAGGATTTTGTTTTTGTTTTCCTTTGGACAGGGTCCCACTATGCAGTCCTGGCTGGCCTGGAGCTCAATGTATAAATTAGGCTGTCCTCACACTCCCAGATATCTGCTTGCCTCTGCCACCTGGGTGTTGAAGTTAAGGGTACCTACCGCCATGCCTGGCTCACTTTTTAGTTTTTCCCTTATTGTTAAGAGTCCTTGGTATATTTGGAAGTCAGGTCTTTAGCAGAAGGCTCTGTGGGTAAAGCAGCTGCCGGGCAAACGTGAGGACTGGAGTTTGGATCCCCAACCCTCACAAGTGCTAGGTGGGCTGGGCAGCCTTTGAAAGGCAGAGGCAGGATCCTGGAGCAGGCTGGCTAGGGAGACTAGCAGTGTCAGCAAGCTCTGAGTTTGATTAAAAGCCTGTGCCTCAAATGAAGATGGACGAGTCATTGAGGAAGATCCTGAACCCCTCCAGGCACAGGTACTGTTTCCCCTCCTGCCCCTGCCCCCACAAAAGAAGAACAGCGGCTTTTGTAGAAGAGCACTTTTTGGTTTTAATTAAAATCACATCAGAACAGGAGACATGGCTCAGTGCTTCAGAGTACTCGCTGTTCTTACAGAGGGCCTGGGTTCAGTTCCAGCACCCTCATGGTGGTTCACAAACATCTATAACTCCGGTTTCAGAGAGTGTCTATGCTTTTCTCTGACATCGTGGGCACCAGGTATGCATGTGGTTCACATACATACATTAAGGCTAAATACTCATACACATAAAATAAAAAAAAATGTAAAAAAAAACCGGTTTTTTTTTTTAGGAATTTTATTTTTGCTGTTGTATCTAAAACCACACACATTTAATTAATCAAAGAACATGAAGACTTTTCTCCTCTGCTATTGCCTGGAATCATATGGATTTGTGATTTACACTTTTGGCTGGGATCCATTTTGAGCTTATTGTTGTGAAAGGTTAAGGGTTTATTTCTCCATTTATTGTTGCAATAAGGCTGCTTGTTTGTTTCCCGACTGCTCAGCCCCGAAATAATTACACAGAAACCATATTATTTGCAATACTGTTTGGCCATTAGCCTAAGCATATTTCTGGCTAACTCATATTCTAAACTAAACTAACCCATCTCTATTAATCTGTGTATTATCACATGGCTGTGGCTTACTGGCTAAAGTTCCATTGTCCATCTCTGGTGGGGCTACATGGCTTCTCTCTGACTCCACCTTTCTTTTTCCCAGCATTCAGTCTAGTTTCCCCCACCTAGCTCTTCCCCCCAATAGCTCTGCTATAGGCCCAAAGCAGTTCCTTTATTGACCAATGATATTCACAGCATACAGAGGGAAATCCCACATCACTTCCCCTTTTCTGTTTAAATAAAAAGGAAGGTTTTAACTATAACATAGTAAAATTACATATAACAAAATGTATATCAAGCAAGAATTACAGTTACAATATTTATATCTACTTTATCTTTTATCATAACCAAGGACAATAGGAAGTGCATTGTTAGCAACTTCCAAAACTCTATAATTGACAGAGACATCTTACTACCTGGACAGTCACCCAAAGTTCTTCTGTGTCATTGGGGTGTCCCTCTTCAGCCTACAGCCCCCATAGTATCTGGCAGACTTTTCCATGAAGCAGGAAATTTCAAAGACAGTTCTGCCTATATTGGCAGTTTGTCAGTCACTTTCTTCTGTATCCTGCAGAATGTCTGGCTGACTTTTTCATGAAGCAGGAACCCCAAAGGATTGTCTCACCTTTAGGCAAGTTCAGCAGTCATTTCTCTGAGGGTCCTGCATGTCCAGTTCATGAAGCAGTTCAGGCAAGAGCAGTTTCTTGACCAAATGGCCAACCAACTCCATGAGGAGCCTCTTTGGTGCCCATCTTCCTCTTGAAGTAACTTGGTGCTGCCAGGAACAGATGTGTCTCACTTTCATGAAAGTCCTAAATTCTTAAACATTTTAAATGCCATATTCTGTAGTCTTTGAAAGGTTTGAAGAATGCCTGTCACCTGAAATATATCCTGTACATCTAGAAAATCTAACATGACTATAAGCCATGATTATAATAATATATGATTATTATAGATGATTATCTATTAACCTATATTTCTTAATTATATATTACATTTCTAAATGAGTTGCACAAACACAATACCTTAATAAAGATCAGAAATACATATACACAGTAAAACAAAATTGACCTTAAATTTTTATCAATAAACCAAGATTTATACCAATGCAAATCTCTATAGCATATCCCCCTTTAAATGTAAACAAATATTTATAGACAATATTTGGGAATATGGACATAGCTTTGTCCAAACTTCCTCCTGCTGTTTATTGGGTGAAGTATTTTTGGGAATGTATTCACAGTGACCTTTGGGCGGGGGGGGTTGGTGAATCAAACTATATTAGTCTGGAAGCAATCCACAGGTTCTCATCTTCTGTGGAAACAAAAGAAGAACCTTGTTTCCAACGCAGCATATCCTTAGACCCAAATTCTGAAGTCAAGATACCTTTCTAATATACATGCTGGTTTAGCTTAGCAGCCCATATAATGAAATGTCTCTCTGTACTTAGCTCCTTCACACCAAAAAAATCAAAGAAAACACAATAATATACATAATCCAGACTCTCTGTGAATTTTCCATCTTTATGAAGCTTATTCTTTGTTTACTCCTTTTAATCTATGACTGTCTGTACTCTGTATCTTTAAACACTTTAACTTTTTTTTTTTAAAAAAAAACCATTTACTTCTTTTTGTAACTGTCTATAGTCTTTTTCTTCTCTCTCCCAAACCTACATACATTTATCCAACACTGTGACTCATTTAGAGGTCTTTTATGTCCGAATCTGTCCTATTGTGTATCTGAAATTCTTTTCAGTCTTGAGGAGCTTTTAAAATGGTAAGCAACTTGGTTACAGTGGCTCTGGATGTTGGCTCTGCCTCGCTCCACTTTCAAAATGGTGGAGGTACCATTACTGCCAGCTCTAGGACCACCAGGTAGGAGCTGTGCTCAGCACTTTAACTCTGAGAATGAGTATGCAGCACATAAACCTTTTTCATCTGAGTAATAGTTAGAAAGGACATGCAGAACATTGCATGACCTGGAAACATCTCTGTGTATGGCGGCAGGAATCCGCCACGCTCTCCTGCCAGTACATTCTAGCAGTCCTGATCCTACCACCTGCCCAGGAGCGGGCAGCTGAGCTGCAGGCATGGTCTCAGCTACTTTCCCAAGTGGGCACACAAGCACCTGGGCCCACAAACCCCATTCAAGTGCTCCATAGCCTTTCTCTTATTGGAGCCAGACTGTTCTTCATTCTAACTGACCAGTTCCTAGAATTCAATCATGAGACTTTCTTCCTCTCATTTGGCATTTAGAGAAGCAACTTTCTCCCAGGCTGGTACAAGGACTCAAGAGGGGAATGTGTGTTTGAGTCTCTTAGCATAGTCAATGTCTGCTCCAGCAGATGTCTTTAAAGGCTAAGTGCTGTCACCAAGAAAAGCAGTGTGTTGAGCTCTCAGCCTTGCTTCAGCACTGGCAGTTTTGTGACCTTTCTCCTCCTGTTGGTAAGGGACCAGAAGATGAAGGCTTCTCAAACTCACAGGCAGACTTCCATTTAAACTTCTTCATAGGTACTTTCAGCTTTTATTTATTATTATTATTATTTGTTTTTTATTCTTTTTTGTTTTATAGTATTATTATTATTCAAAGATATGCTTTGTTTGTTATGTGTGTATGTTTGTGTCTGTCTGTCTGTCTCTGTGCCAGTGCCTATGCAGAGGTCAAAAGAGGGTGTTGGATCCTTAGAGTTGGAGTTACAGGCAGCTTGGGAGCCACTGAACACGGATGCTAAGATCCAAACCCCTGTCCTCATAATAGGATTTGGCAAATGCTATTACCCACTGAGCCTTCTCACACTGTAGCCCAAGCTGCCCTATAACTCACACTACATAGAGCCCGAGTGGGCCTTGAACTCATGGTCATCCTTCTGCTTCAGCCCCTCTGCAAGGGTCATTGATATATTTCTATTTTTGTTGTTTTTCTACAGAAAGAGTAACCTGTACAATTTTCCTGAAGTAAACTGAGACCAGAAGAGTCATCCTCGACCTCTGAAGAGAGACCAAGATTAACAAGCATTCAGAATGCTCTTCCGGGAGAAACAGGGCTTGGCTTATACTTTGGTGGTCATTTGCTTCCTGACACCAAGGCTGTCTGCTGGTCAGAAGTGCCTCACCGAGAGTCTAGAGGATGTTGTCATTGACATCCAGTCTTCTCTTTTAAAAGGAATCAGAGGCAATGAGCCCATCCGTACAGTAACCCAGGAAGACTGCATCAGCGTCTGCTGTTCAACACAAAACATAGCGGGTAAGTAACTCAGCCTGCTGTAGCCTGTGTGTTTTGTGAGCTGTGGCCTGTGTGTTTTGTGAGCTGTGGCTGTGTGTTTTGTGAGCTGCGGCCTGTGTGTTTTGTGAGCTGTAGCCTGTGTGTTTGTGAACTGTGGCCTGTGTGTTTTTGTACAAGATAGTTGGAGGGTGTGGCTGGTTAGTTTGCACCAGAAATTCTCAGTGGAGCGGAAAGACAGATTCACTGGGGAATTGTCCCTAACTACATTCCACCATCCCTCCCCAGAGCTGTATTGTAGTTGCTGACAAGTGTGTCCATATAACCCTTAGACGGGTTCAGGGATGAAACTCAGGTCATCAGACTTACACAGCAACCTCTTCTCCAAATGAGCCATCTTGCTGGTCTGGAAGGGAGTCAATCTGATACATTTATGTGGAAGAAAACATAGGCTCATAGGTTTAAACCAAACATTTCAGGTTTCAAACTGGCAAGCTGAAAAGAGAAGTGTGTGTTTAGAGCTAGCAGTGATTCCGTTTTGCTCATGACCCTGTCTGCATTCTCTACATGAAACAATGTTAACTTTGTTGGGTATGCCACACCTTGCTAAGTGCTAGAGTCAGCTCATAGGATGGGAAGACCTCACCATCAAGGAGCATGAAATAGAGCTGGGTGAGATGCTAAAACCGGTGTCTGCCCTTGAACTTCTTTTTCTGTGATGCCGTGGCATAAGGATGTATATGGAGTCTTTGTCTCAGGTCCTTATTTTTTGGTAGTACTGTAACTAAGGTCAAAACCCACAGCCTCATGAGCATGTACCCTAGGTAAGTGCTCTCCCACTCAGCTCTTTTCCTCAGTCCTCTTTCTACTTAAAACTTTGTTTTTATCTTATGCATATGTCTGTTTGCCTGAATGTGTGCATGTATGTGCACTATGTGTGTGCAGTGCCGGGAGAGGCCAGAAGAGGGTGTCAGACCCTCTGAAACTGTTACAGGTGAACTCCATTTGGGTGCTGGGCACCAAATCTGGATCCTCTGTAAAAAGAGCAAGCGATCTCAACCACAAGTCATCTCTCCAGCCCCCTCTCTTTGTTTTGTAAATTCTCAGGCTGCCCTTAAACCCATTCTGTAGTCCAGCCAGGCCTTGCACTTGTGAATCTTCTGCCTCAGCCTTCTGAGTAGCTGGGATGACATAAGGCACAGAGCTCCTAAACCTTTGAGCTGTACTGAGGGACAGGAGCAAGTCTCGTGATTGTAAGTGCCTTTTACACTTATAACTATAAGTTATAAGTCTCGTGATTGTAAGTGCCTTTTACACTTATAACTATAAGTTATAAGTCTCGTGATTGTAAGTGTCTTTTAACTATAACTCACTCATGCTAGCTGAGGCCACTTTAACAGACCCATAGACTGTTCTAGATGTCACTGGTCATTAGAAAGAGCAAACTCTGGTCAAAAGCTTGGGACATTCAGACCTGTGCCCTGGTCTCCAGGGAGGGGTACTCTGAACCAAAGGTCAGTGACTTAAAGTGATTATGCCTATACAATGGAGCTGTCATGGAGGTCCCTAAAGGATGGATTTTGGAGAGCATCCAGGTAGGTGGGTGAATATGTTTATGTGGTAGGAAGAGAGCACCCCTCAACTCCATGAAGGCTGAAGCTTCTGTATTCATGACCCTTCTAGATCTTTCCTTATGTACCCCTTCATCCAACTGTTCATTTGTATCCTTTATATTTTATATGGGGAAGGCTGTGGGTTTGACAGCCAGCACATATGCAAAAAAAAAAAATTTGGCCTTAGTCTTACAACGTAATGTAAATATAACTATTCTTTTGAGTCCCATGAGTCAGACCAGCGCATTATCAGATGAGAGGGGCAGGGTTGTGGCAGCCTCTGAATTTGTAGTCAAGTCACAGGGTTAGGTAACCTGAGCCCTGACACTTGCCACTGACTTCCGAGAGGACAGCAGGCTTACAGGAAAGAACCCTTAAGCCTAAGGGGTCTGGTGCTAACCCCAGCTGGTTAGAGTAAAACTGGGTCGAACTGAATTGTGGGATATCCAGTGATTGGCAGAGGTTTGCAAGAGATGGCGTGGGAAGGAAGCAGCCCTTCGATGACCTCAGATTGAGAAGTGTGTTTTCTGGTGCTGTGGTTTATAGAAACCGTGGTGATTTAACTTCAGTTCCTACCTTTGAAAAACATATAAATGTTGATGTAGAAGCTTCAGTAGCTCGGGAGTTAAAGCACTGGTCTTACAAACACTGAGATAAGCCTTGATCTGACATAGGTGGGCATGGTGATGCATACCTGAAATCCCAGCCCTCAGAGAATCATGGCTTCCGTACCGCCCTGGATGTGCCTAGACGGATGCCCCTGGCACCGAGGGCTCTAACAGACTTTCCTCCCTCCGGTTGCTTACATCAGCTACTTTGTCACAGTAATGGGCTCTTGGATGAAGTCCTGAAAGACTCCAAATCACAGGCAGAATGTTGTGTACTTCATGCTGATGTTCATTTTCCTACAGATTGTGACTTTCATCAAATTATTTGGATAACTTACATTAGAACTGTAGTTTTTACTTTAACTGCTGGATAAACGAGCGGGAAAGGACACCACGGGAAGGCTCACACCATCAGCTAACTTGGGCTCACTGGAGACTGAACCAACAACTAGGGAGCCTGTGTATATGTTACAATTGTGTAGCTTGGTCCTCCTGGGGGACTCCTAACAGTCTGAACAAGGGCTGTCTCTGACTCTTTTACTGGTTTTGAGACCCTACTCCTCGTATTGAATCACCTTGCCCAGCCTTAGTAGATGGGGAGGTGCTTAGTCTTACTGCAACTTGATATGCTGGGTTTTATTGATGCAGGAGACCTGCCCTTTCCTGGATGGAGATGGAAGAGGAGGGGATTGGTGGGTGGGAACAGAGAGGGGATGGGGAAGAGGGACTGGGAGGGGAGTGGGAGGAGGCTACAGTCGTGTAAAATAAGTAGATAAATAAAAACAAATAAATAATAAATAAATAAACGTAAAACAACAACAACAAAATCTGCGAACTAAGATCCATGGTGGCAAATCTGTATGAACACTTTCACTGTAAAATAAGGTATGAAAGCCTCGGTTCTTGAAATCGATGACAAATGCCTGGTTTTCTGTTGTCAGGAAACACCCACACATCCAGCATTCAATCCTCACAGATAATATTTATATTTCACATAAATTGTTTTGTTGGTTTCATTTCAAACAGTGTTTCACTGTATAAACTAGACTACCCTTGAGCTTGGGATGATCCTCCTGCCTCTGCCTCCTGAGTACTGGGATTACAGGATGTCCAGCTATGCCCATCTTTTGTTTGGGGCAGGGTATCATGTAGCTCAGGCTAGCCTCAAACTCATTGTGTAGCCATGAACTCCTGACCCTCCTGCCTTGGCTTCCAAAGTGCTAAGATTACAGCCCTGTGCCGCCTGCCCAGTTAGCATTCTCCCTCCCCTCCCTTTTATTCTTCCTTATCCAGGTTCCCAGTCTAGGGGACAATGCACCCCCAGTCCAAGGCTGGTCTTCCTGGCTAAGTTACTCCTTCCTGAAAACAGACTTAGCACACACCCAGGAGTACGCTTCCTTAACTGCTAGGTGCATCTCAGGCCTATCAAGTTGACTGTTCCTATCACTTCCAAACGGTCCAGGTTTTAATCCTAGCATCCACAAGATCCTACGGCAGGCATCACATTGTTGGAGAAGGAAAAGCAGGGCTGCGTCGGGTCGAGTGAGCGACGGAAGAAGAAGCAGTAGAAACCTGGCGAGGGCTAACTCTTTTTCCCTACCTACAGGGCTTGGTATTTTGAGATAGGATCTTTTGTAGACTGGCCTCAAACTCCTCAAACTCGCTCTGTAGCTGCAGGAGGATGGCCTTGAACTCCTGCTTCTGCAGCCTCTCCCTCCTGAGTGCTGACACTATAGGCCCGTACCACCACACCTAGCTAAACCATGGGGCTTTTTCAGATTTATTTTTATTTTATGTGCATGTGTGTTTTGCCTACATATATATGTTTGCTTATCATGTGTGCTTGGTATCTGAGAGGCCGGAAGAGGACCTCAGCTCCCCTAGAACTGGAGCTGCAGATGGCTGTGAGTGTCGTGTAGGCGCTGGGATGCAAACCATCACTCGAGCCCCTAAAAGCTGTTTTAACAAATGGAAGATTTGTCTCTAGAGAACGAAATGTGCTGCTAAAAGAAACTGGTGTGGGGAGATAAAGAGATGGCTCGGTGGTTCCGAGCACTGGCTGCTCTTCCGAACAGTCTAGGTTTGGATCCCAACATCCAGCTGGTTAGTGCTCACAACCATCTTTGACTCTGGTTCTAGAAGATCTGATGCTCGCTTCCGGCTCCTGCAAGCACTGCATGCCCACGGCACACAGACATATGTGCGGGCAAGACACACATACACAGAAAATAGATAATAGTAAATTTTTAAATGGAAAAAAGGTTTTTTCCACGATTAATGCGGGTTTATAAACCAAATTAATGTCTTTTGAAGTTGCTTTATATCACTAGCCTAAGAAGAAGGAAATGGTCTGAGGGGTCAGAAAATCGAACGGTGCGCTCTGGAGTGAGTAAAGTTCCTCCAGCTTGTCCTACGCTAGAACGTTCTATTTTGAAATCATTCTTCAAGTCTCTCATTGCAGGGGACAAAGCGTGTAACCTGATGATCTTCGACACCCGGAAGACAGCCGGGCAGCCCAACTGCTACCTGTTCTTCTGCCCCGATGAGGAAGCCTGTCCACTGAAGCCAGCAAAGGGACTTAGGAGCTACAGGCTCGTCAGAGGTAACGAAGGCGCTGTTTTCTTTCTTTCGTGACTGAATTATTTAAAGCTTCGGTTTCTGTGGAAGATTTCCTGAAAGAGCCTAAGAACCAAAAGAGTTCATAAATATTTGATGATTTGAAATTAATTAAACAAAAATACATTTTCCCATAATAGCATCTGGCAGTATTTTGTTTGTTTTATCTTCATGTTATTAAAAGTATACAGGCCTGTGATGAAACATTTTCTTTTAAAGAAAAAAAAAACCCAAAGTCTCCTATAGCCCAGGATAACCTATGAGAGAACTGTTGATTGTTAATATTCTATTTTTTCATTTTTTTAAAAAGATTTATAGAAGAGGGCACCAGATCTCATTACAGATGGTTGTGAGCCACCATGTGGCTGCTGGGAATTGAACTCAGGATCTCTGGAAAAACAGCCAGTGCTCTTAACCACAGAGCCATCTCTCCAGTCCCTTTACTTTTCATTTATTAAACAAATACCAAATGTTGTTTAGCATTTCCTATGCATCAGCACACTTTTTATTCTCTAGAGGTGAAGTGCTGAGCATGAAGCCCACAGTTCTTATTTCTGAAAGTGACTATTGGGCTAGAGATAACAGCCATAATGCATGCTTGAGAAGAATGTAAAGGAGTCACAGTGCCATGCAGAGTTGAGATTTCCCGACAGAACGGTCAGCAAGGGAACCCGTAAGTTAGGTGATCAGTGAGGAGGTAACCCCCAGATTGAGAGCTGAAAAGCTAGCGGCCAGTTATGAGAGGATAGGGAAGGCCTTCCAGGATGATAATAATCCTTAGGCAGAATGGATTTGGAATGAGGACCAATTGTTCATTCCGAATCCCTGGAGGCAGAGTAAGCTGTATAGAATGTGTGGAGGGGAGGGGCGGGGAGACAGATCACCTGCCTTTGTCACTCAGAGGAGGCAGGTTTCATTCTAGGTGTGTAAGGGGGAGCTGTGAAAAGTTTCTAAGTAGGCATGTTCCATGGTGTCTTTTTTAAAAGTTACTATTAGTGTGTGTGTGTGTGTGCGCGTGCGCGCGCGCACGTGCATGACATGGCATGCGTGGAGGTCAGAGAGAGGCCTTGTAGACTTAGTATTCTCTTTCCACCCATGTGTGCATTCTCCATATCTTCCTCAGGTCTCAGGTTGTCAGACTTATGCAGTAAGTTCCTCCTCCCTCTGAGATATCTTGTTTGCCCAAATAATTTGTTTTGCTTTTGCTTTTGTGTTTTTTAGTGATTTATTTATTTTTATTTTATGTGCATTAGTATTCTGCCTGCATGTATGTCTGTGTGAGGGTATCAGATCCTCTGGAGGTAGAGTTACCAGCAGTTGTAAGCTGCCTTGTGGGTGTTGGGAATTGAACCCAGGTCCTCTGGAAGAACCACCAGTGCTCTTAACCGCTGAGCCATCTCTCCACTATCTGCTTTTGGTTTTGTTTTTTGTTTTTTTGTAAGACAGGGCTTCCTTCCAATTTAGTGTTGGTTGGCCTGAAACTTGCTATGTAGACTAGCCTTGTTTTGAACTCACAGAGGTCTGTCTACCTCTGTCTCCAGAGTGCTGGGACTGTGGTGTCTTTAAGGAGTCTTCACAAAGATCACTGGCGACTCTTTGGGGAACTTCCTTGAGGCCACAGGATTGGGGGGATGGAAAGAGTCATTGATGGGAAGTAAGATGTAGGCAGAAGATGATCCAGAGAAATGGTAAAGGAGGTGGGGAGAGGTAAGGTTGGTAGGACTTGCTGGTGCTCAGGGATATGAACATAACAAGGCTAAGTCCTAGTTTTGAATTGAACATCAAGTTGGTTGGGGCCGCCATTTGTGAACTAGGATTTTTGAAGAGAGCAGTTTTAGAGTCTGGAGGTAGAGCAGAATGAAGGGTTTTCTCTTGCCTCTTAAGTTAGGGTGCTTTGAGGAATGAACTTCTTGGGGCACTTAGGTGTTAACTGCCGTGTTTTCTGAGTGGGGAGTTGCCTGAATTTTGTTCTAGAACCAGGGAAATCCAACATTTCCTTAAACTGTAGTAAAAAGCACAGTTTGTTTCAATGATCTGCTGTGGTAACATAAGTTACAATTGAAGATTAAGTCTTCCAATTTCCATAATACTTCTGTAGAATTATTGCTTTTATAATGTGTAAAAGAAGAAGTCCAAGATAAAGATGCTGGCCAATGGAGACAAGAGGAAAGGGAAATGAGCCTATGTAGGAACCTTTTAAGGGTGAGTACACCGAGGAGGAACTGGAATCAAGCTGTTCTGGTGGTAGCCACCAGGGGGCATCATGAGCACAGAGCAGGTGGAAGGACGGTTCCTGGCAGTGACACCAGATCCCGGACACATGCAGAGGACTGTTTATTCCTACAGGATGTACACAAGTTATGTTTTTAATTCTATTTATAAATACACCCGTGTTTATGTGCTGAGTTATTCCATTGATCATAAATTACCCTGTTTGAACTGAACTGAAGTGTAAATATCTGTTTGGTGGTTTGTTTCTGAAGAGACTTTTATTTCCTGTAACCAGCTGGCTAATATTTACAGACTGACACTTTGAACGATGGCAGCGGACTCTGCTCGGTCTACAAAAATGCTGCAGCTTAGCATCAACCTGCCTTTCATAGTTTAGCAGTATGTCTTTTCTACCAAGCACTATAAGAACGGGTGGATTCAGAAACCCAATAAATTGGAAATCTGTGTGCTTAGCTGGTTTCCAAGAAAGTTCCTCATTCTTTAACTCAGTGAAATCCCTTGAGAAACGAAACCCTAAGAGGAGGGGACGGCCCAGGGCTGTTTCCCAGCTCCTGCGACTTGTGTCCACAAAAGGAACCGCTGCCCAGTGCAAACAGCAGTGGGCGAGGTGAGAGGAACAGGTGTGGAGGATTCTGTGTGGTTCCAGGCTCCTTGCCAACACATGCATCTTATCAAGTGGGACTAGGGCTGGCTTTCGTTATAGCTGAGCGCACACACTTGAGAAAGCAAACAACTGCTTTGGCCTTTCTTGCCAATGGACATATCTGACTTCTAATGCCACACAGACTGCAGGTCAGTTAACTCAATAGTCTTGGTTTGTTTGCTTGTTTTTATCTCTCTCCCTTGCTCTCCTTTTACTTTAAAAGATTATTTAAAGTTTTTAATACAATGTTTATTTAGTCATTTATTTAGTGTGTGTGTGTGTGTGTGTGTGTGTGTGTGTGTAGCTGTGTTCACCATCTTGGTAGCATGGAGGTCAGAGTAACTTGTGAGACTTGGCTCTCTCCTGCCACGTAGGTGCAGGGGACTGGCTGAACTCAAGATTTTCAGGTTTGGCAGCCCAGTTGAGTCATCTAACTGACTTTTTTTTTTTCAACTTTCAAACAAAACATGCTGAGGTGTGTTTTGTTTGTTTTATGTGTGGACTTGAGGACTCACCTTGGGGCCTCATGCATGCTCTAAGCTTCACTCCCAGTCCCTGGGTCATCGTTTTATTAAATGCCTAACGATACAGATAGTGATGCTATGAATGTGATGATGTCATCTGTAGTAATATATATCAAAAAAGGATGAAACTTAGAGAGAGAGAGAGAGAGAGAGAGAGAGAGAGAGAGAGAGAGAGAGAGAGAAAGAGAGATGCTTGTGCTGTTGAAGAAAATGGGCAACTCATGCACCCAGATTAGTGGGGAGGGGGAGTTGGAGGTAAAGTGTTATGGGCATCACCACCACATCCAGCTCCAACTTCTATTTTAGAGTAGAGTACAGTAGCCTAGAACATGTGTTGGTCATGTTGGTCAACTTTTCTGTCTAGTGTCAAACAGTATTTAGATCTTGGAGGCCTATGTTTGAGGTACTCTGGCCATATGCAACCAGTCGTATCTATTGATACAATGGTATCAATGTATACCATTGACCTCATGGTGTACACGCTGCCGCAGGGATTATATAAATACATGGACATTCTGGACAGGTTGGAGAACACGAAAATCCAAATAGTGTGTGGTTTTCACATATCAAAAATTCTTTTGGTTATTTCCAGCCATTTAAAAATGTAAACTTCATTCCCAGTTTGCAAACCACAGAAGGGTAGGGGGCAGGCGGGATCAGCTATTCTTGTTAAACCCTACATGAATCAAATGGCGGCTTTAAAGACTCATGTAGTTTAGTGGGGTGATACATGCCTGTAATTCCAGCAGGGTGGAGGCAGGGGCATCAGGAGGTCAGGATGAGCCTTGACTATGTATCAGATTCAAGGAGAACCTGAGCTGCATGAGACGATCTCAAAAATAAATAAATAAAAAAAGAAGAGAGAGAGAGAGAGAGAGAGAGAAAGAGAGAGAGAGAGAGAGGGGAAGGAAGGAAGGAAGGAAAGGAAGAAAGAAAATAAAAAAGAAAGAAAAAAAAAAGAGGCCAGTAAGATGGCTCAGTGGGTAAAGGTATTTGATGCCAGACATGATGACCTGAGTTTATTCCCCGGGACCCACATGATAGAAGAAGAGAACAGACTCAGTTGTCCTCTGACCTCCACAGGCATGCTGGAGCATGTGAGCCACTTCCCCCACCCCATAAATAAATATTTGAAATATAATTTTTAAAAATTAAATAAGTAGTAAAGAACCATGAGAAAGTGTGAGGGTTTGTGAGCACTCCCAGGCTGTCAGCCCTCTTCAGTTGTTTCTGGATCTGGTAGGGGAGATGGCAGGTCTACTCTGGAGACAGATATGGGGGGCCATGAAGGCCAAAGGGAGAAAGGAGACTGCGGCCTCCTGGGTTTCCTCTGCCCTGGCTCTCTTTAGCGTTTGAGACAAGGTCTCATGCACCCCCTGGTGGAGCTGACCGCTTTGAGGAGCATGCAGAGAACGGCCTTGGACATCTGATCCTCTTCCTTCACCTCCAGGGTGCTGGGATTACAGGTGTGCTTCCTTGTGCCCAGTTCGTGGGAAACTGGAGGTTGAGTCTTATCAACCAAGCTACCTTTCCAGGCCCGACTGCAGTTCTAATACTATCCGAACAGCCAAGAAGCAGAGTTAATACTGAGCGATTCGAATTATCCCTTGCTGCCCTTGATTGCCTTAACAAGCTTTTCCAGTTTGAACTGTGATAAAAAGCTGCATGGCTCAGAGCAAAACCCTGAGCGGTCTCTGGCAGTCAAATACCCACCTTAGGAGTTGGTACGAACAGCCCTACTCTGCCCATCCAGTAGGGGGCACTATGATTTCAAACATCATTACTCACAATCTAAGGCATTTGCTCTATAATCCCAAGTCTGAATCAAGTCTGCAGGATAGGCTCCCTCTTCTGATGACACCCCTGACTTTATTTGGAAAATGGTATCCTCGTTGCGCTATTTCTTTGGTTCAGTGTTCTCCAAAGAGTCTAGACCCTCCAAGTCTCCCCCTTTCAGGCAAACCCTCATCACTGTTAAAGGCCTGTCACTAGGATTCTGCCTCCCCGATGCCTCATTTTTCCAAGCTTCTATTACTCTTGTCCCATGTCCAGGCTGAAACGTCTGTCCCCATGATTAGCTGTCATGGGCAGTTGGCATGTCTGCAGGAATGCTTGTCTTCCATCGGCTTTTTCCCTGCCAGCCCCCACCCTGCTCAGGCCACCCTGGCTCCTCCCTCCCCTGCCTCTGCCCTCAGCCGTCTTTAGCTTCCCAAACCTCTACATGGTTCTTCTCTCAGCCTCATTGCTGCTCCTACTTATTCCTCGGTCAGCCTGATGCACCCCGCTTTTCTCTTCTCTTTGGTTCCACTAAGCTAGAAATAAGCCACGCCATGATGTCGAAAGACACTGTTGTGATATTTTATAATTGGTGCTTTCTATTTTATACATGCTTTGACGAGAAATATCCAGTACCTGGGGCTGGGGTGTAGCTCAGTGGTACAGTGCCTGCTTGATGGGTACAGGATGACCCTGTGTTCATTTCCAGCTTGCATGCACAAGTAGAGAGAGAGACAGAGAGAGAGAGAGAGAGAGAGAGAGAGAGAGAGATACAGAAAGAAGTTGTCAGTCAGTATTAATTTGCTTTCTAGTGCTGTGATAAAACATTGACCAAAAGCAGTTTGGGAGGAAAGGGCCGATTCAGCTCACCCATCCTCATCACTGTTAGCATTGAGGGAAGCCAAAGCAGGAGCTGATGCACAGATCATGGAGGAAGCTGCTTACTGGCTTGCTGTCCACGGTTGGCTCAGCCTGCTTCCACGCACGAGCTAGGACCACCAGCCCAGGGATGGCACAGTGGGCCAGACCTGCCCACATCAGTCATTAACCAAGACAATGCCTTGGCAGCCTAGCCTCCAGGCCAATCTGACAGAGACATTTTCCCCTTGAGGTTCCCTCTTCCCGCGTGACTCTGGTTTCTGTAAGTTGGCAAAACAATAACAACAAAAACAATGAACCAGCACAGGCATCAAGTATCAACCATTTGTGGGGACATGGTAAACATTTGTATTTTTAAAGATTTATTTATTTATTATATATACAGTGTTCTGCCTGTGTGTATGTCTGTATGTCTGCATGCCAGAAGAAGGTACCAGTTCTTGTTAAAGATGCCTGTGAACCGTCATGTGTGGTTGCTGAGAACTGAACTCAGGACCTCTGGAAGAGCAGCCAGGGCTCTTAGCCACTGAGCCATCACTGTAGCCCAAACATGTGTGTGTGTGTGTGTGTGTGTGTGTGTGTGTGTATGTGTGTGTGTGTGTATCTTACCATGGACATTTTAACTCTCCTTTTCATTTTCTTTATACCTTCAGATTTTCCATTGACCAGGGTTACTTCCCCACTCCAAAAGTTAACACAAGAAGAATCTCCCTTACTTGACCATACCTCACCAGCAGTCTCTCCCCGGGCCCATCCTCCCACGGGTTACCCGGAGCCCACTGGCCTGTTTTGGAGAGACGTATCTTCTCAGGAGTCCACCTCCTCCGCTCACTCACAGAACCTCATCAAGATCGACGAAACGAGTACCCATCTCCCTGTTTATAAAGAAAGAAGCCATTCTCCGAGTTTACAGCTTTCCTCGAAACGAAACATGGCTCACCTGCTCCCTACAAATGCAACCCTGACTGTTGCTTCTATCCATAACGTCTCTGCCACTCTGGAGCCTGCGCTTCTCGTGGCCAGCGCGTCAGTGACACCCGTGACTTTACAGCAGACAGAGGCCACCACAGCTCTACCTCTAACCACCGTGACTGGGAAGCCCCCTGCAGCCCCCATGTCAACAAGTGTTACACAAGCGGTCACGCACCAGGCAACCCTGAGTGCCGTCTTTCAGGTCCGTACAGACTCAAAAGGCATCGTAGAAACAGCGCCCTTTCGAGGAGGCTCCGTGCTAACCCCAGATATGGGGCATGGGAAAAGCTCTGCGGTCCTTCCTCGGTCAACCTCAGGGTCCCCCGTTCCAAGCGAGACTGCTTCCAGGGAGAATGGGAAGGTCAGTGTAGGCAGTTCACCACTGAGCAAGGTTTCAAAGAGTCAGCATGGCCTTTCCTTTGAGAAGTGGCTTCTCATTGGGACGCTCCTCTTTGGTGTTCTGTTCCTGGTAATAGGCCTCGTCCTCTTGGGTAGGATGCTGGTCGAATCCCTCCGTAGGAAAAGGTATTCAAGACTTGACTACTTGATCAATGGGATCTATGTTGACATTTAAAGATAAATTGGGCATCTCTTAGTTCATGTAACAACTCGTTGCCAAATGCACCTGTGTTGCTTCTGCCCAGCTCATCTCAGTAGGAGCTATATCTAGAAGGATGTCTCTGCTGCTTTTCCTCTTTCACTTTTCCTGTTTGAGACAGGCTCAGGTAGCTCAGACTGGTCTTGAACTCCTGCTCTTCCTGCCTCTGCCCCCTCCCCCAGTTCAGGGGTTGCAGGTTTTCACTACTGTGTCTGGATTTTTAATTAAAAAAATTTTAAATTCTTTTGCAGCACTGGAGGTCAGATTCAGGGCCTTCTGCATGCTAGGCCCTTCTTGTCTCCTCCTGAGCTACATCCCAGTCCAAGCACTTTCTATTTGCTTGTTTGCCTTTTTGGTTTTTGTTTTTCAGAAGAAGAGAAAGGATTTAAAAAAAAAAAAAAGATAAGTTATCTGAGTGGCCGAGTGTCTGTAAAATAGTAGCTGAAAATAATTCCTAGCTGAAATAGTAAGTGTACTTGAGTACAAGCTAGAGACCGGTATCTGAGCATAAGTCTAGGCCATCTCTGAGTTGCAATTCATTGCTATTTCTCATCCCAGATAATAGCGACTGTTTGATACTTGTTTTAATGGATTCTCTTTTCTTTTTTTATATGAATTCCAATAAAACTCATTCCAGATGTATTTCCCTCCAATTAAATATTTGAATAAATCTCTTGTTACTCAGTATTGTTCTAAGCGGCATGGCCAGCTGGATGGCTTTCAGCTCCTTTCCACCAGCAAAACGATGGAATGATGAAAATATGTGTTCCATGTTAAAAAAAATGACGGCCTCTCTGTTCTCGTCAATGACCAAAGGGGTTCCTTTGGGAGAATTTTAGCAGACTATTAATCCACCATGGAGACAATGATGTTGTTTTTGTTATTTATTTGTTTAAGACAATGTTTCGTGGAGCCTAGTCTAGCCTCAAACTCTCTACGGAGCCAGGGATGATCTTGAATTCCTGATCCTCCTGCCTCCACGTTCCAAGTTCTGGGATTACAAGAATGTACCCCACGCTTAGCTAGTAAATTCTAATGCATAGCCAAGCCAGCCCATTTGGGATTCAGCCTTACTTCTAAAGTGTTAACGTTTTCTAAGATTGTACCAAGTTTAAAAATTACTGATATTATTTATGACTATCTAAACTGGAGCAGCAGTCAATTACAGGTTTACTGGGGATAATATTAAAAGCACTATATAGCATTTTGATTAATATGCTATACTTTTTGTTGGTTAAGTTCTGAAATTTCTGGGAAATGCTTATAAGGAGGAGGGTTTTCCAGACAAATGGGCGTAGGGTAACTAAGTGTAGAAGGCCATCTGGGTCAGTTGGATGCTTCACATCTGAGCTGCAGTATGCTTATTGACAAAAGAATGGTTGACCCATCTGGATAAAGACTGGTTTGGACACATTTGTGTGTGCACATGTACATGTATGTGAGATTCAGAGGCCAGAGCTGGGCAGTCATCGAGTTTGATCCTGTTCCTGTGGTAAATACCACGAGCAAAGCAACTTAGCAAAGAGTTTATCTGGCTTACACTTCTGAATGGACATCATCAGTGAGGGAAAACAGACAGCAGCAAAGCCATGGAGGAACCCTTCTTACTGGCCTGCTCCCTTTCTTATACAGCCCAGCCCTCTGTCTAGGGGTGAACTGCCCACAGTGGCCTGGGCCCTCCTACATCAATTAGACATGTTGAGAGACCAAAATGATGGAGGATGTTCAGCTGAGCTTTGGTCTTTCCTGGTATGTCAAGTTGACAACCAAGATGGACTAATACAGGCTATTTTCCTCCAGCATTCTCCACTTTATTATTTTTAAAATCAAGGTCTCACTGAATATGGAGTTTACCATCTGGTGAGACTGACTGGGAGATGAGCTCCGGAAATCCTCCTGTCTCAGCTCCCCAGTGCTAGGACTACAGACACGCACCATCGCACCCTGCTTTTTAAGTGGCTGCTGGGACCTGAACTTAGGTCCTCAGACTTGCACAGCACCACTTTCCTGACTGAGCTATATTTCCCAGTCCCTAAACATGGTTTTTAAAGATAAAAATGGACTTCAGGAGGCTGGAGAGATGACTCAACAGTTAAGAGGCCTGGGGTTCAGTTGCCAGTACTTGCGTGGCAGCTCACAACCATTTGGAACTCCAGGTCCAGGTGATGGAACACCCATCCCCTCTGATCTCTGAAGGTACCTACATGCACACACAAAATACACAAAACACACACACACACACACTGAGGCATGCATGCAGACACTAAACTTTGGACTTCATACGCAAACTTTATAGCAACCACTAGAGGGCAGTAGCTGGTTTACAAGAGTAGCCACAAAGTCTAAAGGATAAAATGACCCGGGCTTTCTTACCCCCTCTCCCACCACCTTCTTCCCCTCCATCCTCCTAATAACTCCCCCCCCCCCACACCATGGTCTAGGCAAAACTCATTTAAGAGAAAAGCTGGCCCACTGAAAGTCCTGTTTTTCATGTATTTTCCAACTTAACAGCTTGACGCAAATCTCCAAGGAGTTTACATAAGCTCTAAGTAGGTTGAATAAATAAAGCCTGGAGATAATTTAACAAGCATGCTTTTTTGAATATCCACTTGTAGAGCAGAATCAGATTAGTAGCCAGGTGCCTTGGGGTTTGAAAATGTCTCTTCTCTTTGTTAATGGATTTTGAGAGTACAGAGAAAGACTTTCTCTGTGTTTATGGAAGTCTCCTCCTGTCTCCTGCTCCACCTAGATGCATCCTTTCCTGGGATGGAAAGGCTTGCTTCTCTCTCTCTCTCTCTCTCTCTCTCTCTCTCTCTCTCTCTCTCTCTTTATAGATATTCATTTATCATGTATACAATATTTTGTCTGTGTGTATGCCTGCCAGCCAGAAGAGGGCACCAGACCTCATTACAGATGGTTGTGAGCCACCATGTGGTTGCTGGGAATTGAACTCAGGACCTTTGGAAGAGCAAGCAATGCTCTTAGCCACTGAGCCATCTCTCCAGGCCCTCTTTCTTTCTTTCTTTCTTTCTTTCTTTCTTTCTTTCTTTCTTTCTTTCTTTCTTTTTTTAGACAAGGTCTCACTTTGTAGCCCAGCCTGGCCTCAGATTCTCAGTCGTCCTGCCTTCCATTTAGAAGTACAGCCATGCACTACCACAACTGGCTTAAATGTCTCCATTCCCTTCTCCTCCCTCTCTTTCTTCTTTCTTTTCTTTTTCTTTGAAATAGGGTCTCGTAGAGCCCAGTCTGGCTTCAAACTAGCTATGTAGCCAAGGATATCCTTTCCCGGGGTCCACCCTCCGTTGGGGTTCAGGTCCTGAGACAGAGAAAGTGCGTCAGTGCAAGGAAAACACTAAGAGGATTGCACTCAAGTGGCCCCAATAGCTTGAACCATCTTTATTGAGTTTTTCTTACCAGGGTTACATGAACAGCTTCATTACTGTCTCCTACTTTTGAACTATATCATATTTTAAGGAATACATTGTAATCATTATGAAAGCCCTCATTGTTCCCCTTTATACTTCCCCAAACAACCCCCCTATGCACACACACAACCTTATTCTGACACAGAGCTCAGCAGTTTTGCAGGCTTAACTAACTGTCGAGCCAGACACATCCTGCTCTGGGAGCACTTAATGTCAGCTGGCAGCTCCTTGCGGTCACAAAGTTAAAAGTAATAGACACGGGCACAATGCTTTAAGGACAACAATATTCAGACCCAGACAATTATTTCATGTCTGCAAGATGTATTTTTATACAGTTCCTTTTTCTACAGAGGGTTCCCTGCCTCACTCTCTCTGCAGAAGGCAGACTTTGATAAGGCGCTCTTTTCCCATCCACTACACCACGCTTCTCCCACCAATATAAGCTCCTGTGTATGGTAAAGATAGATCTCTCCATCCCATATTTTACCCTATATCCTTTCCCACTGGAGCAGACCAGATCCTGTCATTGATTCTATATGCTTGGTGTCCAGGGAGCTTACTCTCAACAGTTGGCACTATGTGCATTCCTAAAGCCTCTTCCCTATCCCGTGTATGCATGCCTTACTCTTCTTTCCAGAACTGTGAGACATGGTTAGTGCTCCAAGTGTTGTTTTCTCATATGTACCTGTCTCTGTTGAGTCAGAAAAGTTCCCAGGGTTGGGAGTTGTAGTTAGTAATTCCGGATAAGAGATTTGGGAACCATTCGCCTCTGTTGAGTCTTCCGGGAAAATATTCAGAAAAGGGGTTTGGTTTAATGCAGAGCTAGGGTGGGAACCCCGGGGCTTTGTGCATGCTGGGCACGCATTCCACTGACTGAACTATATCCCAATACTCTTCCTCCCTTCTTTCCTTCTTTCCTTCCTTCCTTCCTTTTTCTACCACTGTGCTACCCTGCCCTTTCTTTTTATTTTGAGACAAGCTCTCGCTAAGTTGCCCCGGCGAGCTTTAAATGCAACTCTGCAGCCAGGCAGACTCTGTACTCGTGATCCTCTCGCCTCAGCCTCCTGAAAAGCTGGAAATATTGGCCTGCACAGCACAAGTTCCCTTAATACTTCCTCGAGGAGCCTCTCTATGGAGGCTGCACCCATCCGTAGTCCAGGTAAGGGACACTGCGGGGCCAGACTCTCTGTACCGGCGGCCATGGAATACGTGTCTTGTAAGTAGCAATTGGATTTAAGAAGCTCTTGTTTGCTTCATTTTTGAGGCTAGGTCTCAGGGAGAGTAAGCTAGCTTTGAAGTACTATGTAGCTGAGGCTGGCCTCGAACTCCTGATTCTTTCACCTCCACCTGCTCAGTGCTGGGATTTCAGATCTGTTCCACCATCCCTGGCTCATCATCTGTAACAACCCTTAAGTTTCTTTTCGCAACACAGAACACTTTAATTTCTAAACATCAGTTGGAAAACAAGACTGTCGTGTGAAACAAAGGGTCTGCAGTTGCGGCTTGTGGAGCGCTCATAGCACACACAGGTGGGCTGTCTTGGTTTTCTACTCCAGAGAAGGCCGGCGCCTCTGTCAGGGCATAGGCTTACATGTGAACTCATGAGGTACCTGGCTTGCTGGTCTTGAAGAGAACATGCTCCTTGGGTCGGTCTTGTAGGCCCACATCTGGACTGAAACATCACTGACTCCAGGCAGAGGCAACCAGGGTCTCTCCCGGGACTTCCTACTTTCTAAGGCTGCTTTTTGTTTTGTTTTTTTTTTGTTGTTGTTTTGTTTTGTTTTTCTGGCTGCCCAAAACTCATTCAGAACTCCAGGGCTTTCTTGGTAGTCAAGTCCTTGAGCTCCACCAGCTGCCACAGCGTCTGCACACTGGAGTGGAAAGAGCCAGGGCCCAGCACTCTACACAGACAGTCAGACAGACACACACACACCATGTGTGGGCAGGTGTTGTGCGGAGCCACCGGCAGAACGTCCAGGATTTCCTACCTGTCTCCCTCCAGGTGGGTCACCCAGATGGGCAGTTCGAGCCATGTGGTGTCCAGGGCAGCCTCGTACTGCTCCTTGAAGCATTCCGCCATGGCCTTCAAAGGGCCCAGCATCAAACACCAGTTTTACTCCTAAAGTATAATTTCTTGAGTTTTTTTTCCCTCATTTTGCAGATGAGGAAACTGAGGCACAGATAGGCTTCAATAACTCGCCCTCAATAAATGCTTAC